CACAAAACACCCTTTTTCTCAAAGGCCTAAGATAGCATCAGTTTTTTATCTATCTGAACCCACTCAGCCTCAGTTTGAGACCAAGGCATCTTCTCCCAAGTAATCTGAGAGTTATCTCATATCAAAACAACTGTAAGGGATTCTGCATGCTAACAAGGTGCTTGGGTGCTGCAGGGATTAAATCTTTCCTGCTTAGCTGTGCGAGTTTCTTTGCCTTTTGCTTTATTGAGAATGTTTTCAAAGTTCTTGACAGAATTACAAGCCACAGTTGGCTCCGCCTCTTTCTTAGCCCTCTAACCCATAAGCAGTGCAGCTGAGGTTACGGGATTTATGGTTAGTGGTTTGAGAATATAAATAGAAAGGAATTTATACGATTTTCTTTCTCTGTAATACAACACTCAGTAGCTTTCTGTCTCCCACCCTTCACACCAAACACATAAGGTGCCATCCAAAAAAGCCTGGAAAGCTTCAAATTGAGAAAGTTAGTAACTTGCCAACCTGAAGCAAATTCTCACCAGCAACTTATACATCACACCACAGTAACTCTAACTCAGGAACCAATCCATGCAACAAACCACGGTGCCAACTCTGCCCATATATCTACACCAGTGACACCATCACAGGACCTAACTAGATCAGCCACACCATCATGGGTTCATTCACCTGCATATCTACCAGTGTAATATACGCCTTCAGATGCCAGCAGTGCAGCTCTGCTATGTACATCGGCCAAACTGAACAGTCCCTACGTAAAAGAATAAACGGACACAAATCAGATATCAGGAATGGTAATACAGTAATTCCTCATTTAACACTATAGATATGTTTCAGAAAATGATCATGTTAAGTGAAAATGCGTTATGCAGGGTCAATTTTCTCATTGAAAATAATGGAAAAGGTGGGGGTTGCGTTTCAAGTGGTGGTGTCTGTTGGGACCGGGACATAAGGTTGGGGAAGAGGGGACTGGGTTACAGCAGGGAGGGGAGGTGTTTGGCTCTGGGGAAAGGAAGGGGAAGAGAGGGTAAGGGGATTGGCTTGGGAGTATGCCCCTGTGACGGGTCTGCCGGAACCCGCACTACGTCCAGCGAGGGGGTGTTGTCAGGAAACAATGCAGTGAGCAGCGAACCCTCCGCCACTTTGTAGGGAGGCGGGAGAAGCCCTGGGCAGCTGCCGGCAATGGGCCAGCTGGGGAAATCATGTTATTCCGGGGATAGTCGTGTAATTCAAAAACTTTCCCTAAAAAAAAAATCGTGCTATCGCGAAAACGTGTTAAGCGGGCACGTGTTAAATGAGGAATTACTGTGCACAAAAACCTGGAGGAGAATGCTTCAATCTCCCTGGACACACAATAGCAGATTTAAAGGTAGCCATCCTGCACGAAAAAAACTTCAACAACAGACTTCAAAGAGAAACTGCTGAGCTACAGAGTTCATCTGCAAATTTGACACCATCAGTTTAGGATTAAACAGAGACTGTGAATGGCTAGTCAAGTACAAAAGCAGTTTCTCCTCTCTTGGAGTTCACACCTCCACATCAGCTGTTAGAAGTGGGCCTCATCCTCCCTGACTGAATTGACCTCATTATCTCCAGCCTTACTCTTGATTGGTACTCTTTTCTTATGCCTGTTTATTTATGCCTGCCCCTGAAATTTCCACTATATGCATCTGACGAAGTGGGTCTTTGCCCACAAAAGCTTATGCTCCAATAAATCTGTTAGTCTATAAGGTGCCACAGGACTCCTCGTCGCTTTTGCAGATCCAGACTAACACGACTTTTCTGCATGTCCCTGATGGGTCAGATTTCTACCTCCCATGAGGAAATAAAAAAACAGTTCGGGGAGCAGGGAAACTCATCAGGGTTAACCTTAAGAGTTTTTGACCAGGAAGGTTGGGGTTCATGCCTCTTCCCTCTGGTTGGAAGAGCAGTGGGTTCAGGATCCAGAAATCTTTGATCTCCCCAAATCTGCTAGTGACCTGTCTGGTGGTGTCCCAATCCATGTGCAGTAAGGACCGAGCCTGCCAGATGCTAGTGTTCCCTCACCCACCTGAATGCCAATGGGGATTGCACCTTGTGGAATAGCTCCACCCAGGAGTTAATAAGGCCTCAAACTCTTTCAATTTTTAAAAGGATTCCTCCTGGGACTGGTGTGGGGACAATGCTGATAGCATCCCTTTCTCTTTAGCTGTACTCTTCCTGGTGCTAGCCCATCCCCTTCCTCTCAAGCCCTGGTTCCATTGAGGGCCTTTCACAATATCAGCAGGAGTGTTCTCCTTCTGCATGGGATTGGGGAAGGTATGGTTTCCTCTTCAGACAGGTCTTGGAAGAGAACATTTGGACTCCTTAATTATGAGGAGTGATAGAATGGTGGAAGTTGGAATAAACATTTCAACTTGGTTCCCCCCTCCATGTTACCGTTTGCACAGAATGACCATTTCAGATCTGTTTGAAACTTGAACCTGAACCTGTATTCTCCCTTCCACATATCAAATATGTGCTGGGGCACTGCATCAGGTTCCATCAGATTCCATTGCATCAGCCATAAATAATGGGCTCTTTGGTGTAGCATGAGGCCCCTCGGGACAGCTATTACCCGTTCAGAGATTACTGTCACATCCGTCAAGAGCAGAGTGCTCGGATGTAGAGAGAGCCCTTTGGGCCTTGGTCGGCTGATAGCGACAAGTTTTCTTTGAAGCGTATGTCTATTATTTTATTCTTCATAACATTCTTTTTTTAAAAAAAGATACCATCTGTGTTACAGCCCAGCATGCACGTCCAATGTAAACATCAAACCCCTCATGTACGCTGGTGTAAGTTTCAGCTTCTCGCTGACATCATTTTAAGTCTGGAGTAGCCCCCACTGATTTCTGTGGAGTAACTCCAAGTACTGTGCTGTAGCTGAGAACCCCACTGGGTTCCCTGCAGCCTCTTTTGTGCCCTGTAATTTTGCTATTACATAAATTATCTATGGGTGCCAACTAGGGTAGCTATGTCTATGTATGTCCACAAGCAGGCATTTGGAAATGTAAGTGCGTTCCTTACACCTGTAGTTAATTGCATGCACTCGGTTACATGTGAGCACAACATTTTACAATCCTGGCTTCCCGACAGTGCAATTTAGAACCATTGGTGGGATATGTAAAACAATTGTCTGCTGTATTTAGAATCAATCCTGCCTATAATTTTGTCTTTCAGATATTGGAAGCATTTTTCTGACCCAAATTTTGTTACAGGGTCCATATTCATGGTAACAAGATCTTTTCTTTTTAGAGTCCCCCTGCCTTTGCTACTTATTCCCCTCAGTGGAAGTTATGCCAAGATGGTTTGTAATGTCTAGGGATGTTAAAATGCATTTAAGAAAGTAATTGTGTAACTGCTGAAAATTTCAGTGGTTACACGTGGGTGAGAGGCAAGTGGCTCTCACCTGCCGCCCCACACTGTTGCTTCTGATACAGAGTCAGTGCTTCCAGGAAAGGGGGCCGGTGGGAGCTGGCTTTTATAGGCAGCAACGTGGAAGGGGCCTGCATGTAACTATGCACGTTAACCGATGAGTGCTGGCTCATTCGTTAACCATGTACACAGTTACACTTTCACATCCCTACGGATGGCACAATCAGTTTCCATGGAAATTATTGTATTATATTGACGATCACAACTGCAAGTGAAGTATAAAATATTGCAAATGAATTCCGAAGCAAGAACAAATATCCTTAACTAAAAGAGCCTTTTTCCTCTTTGAAAATATAAGCTATAGCTGCAGAATAGTTGGTAGAGAGAATGGTTTTCAGTGTTTTCCATCAGCAGTTCTAAACAGATGGGATGGAAACTTAGAAAGTCATGTCTGTAGCTGCTTTCCATGCACCTGTAATAACGATTCAAGAAAAATAATATTCCTTAGAGCTACCCGTAAAGGAGCTAAACTCTGTGTTTATTATAGTACGAAGTGCAGAGATGCGTTGTTTGATTTTTTTTCAGTATTACTTTGAACTCTGATTTCTGAAGTGTTAAAGAGATGTTTGCGTTAAGGGAAACAGCTGCAATGTCTTTGGAAGTTTTATAAACATTATGGAGAATTCAGATGGACTACTCAAATGTTATGTTGTACACATGCACACACACATTGTGCTCTGCATTAATGCTACAATACTATGTGCTGGTCAGTGTAAACAAATGGTCATTACATTTTAATAGGCAAATTGTATTTGTCAAGGGACTCATCCCTTTATTTCACTGTATCATGTCACTGCCCTTGTCTGGCTCAAGCTAGAAAATGCTGTTAGCCGTGCTTATGTTTTTATTTTGACAAAGGATAGTCAGGTAAAAAAAAACCTCATGTTTGATCTGACTCACCAGTATGCTGTCATGCAAAGAACAAAATGTATTTAACATCATGCAAGTAAAAACACGTTAATTAACCTTGTTTTCCTGAATTGGTGAGAGGAGGGATCACATGAGGATTACCTGTTGTGTTCCCTCCCTCTGGGGTATCTGGTATTGGCCACTGTTGGCAGACAGGATACTGGGCTAGATGGACCCAGTATGGCCGTTCTTGTGTTCTTAATGGCACTTTCTCCCAGTATGAAAACAAGACCAGAGAGAGTACAGTTGCATGTTTATACTTTCTAAACTGCACACACAGAATAAACAGAGACTTTTCCCTCACACTGCCATGAAATCCCAATCCTTCCCTGTGTCGTCTGGATCAGACTCAGAGAAGAAAAGGCAGACTCCCATCTGACCAGAACCATTAACTGAAACAGTCTCTGCTTGGTTGGAGTACTCCTGTGTAGAGATTAAAGGGACAAGCAATTTTGTGTCTGCGCTACTCACATCTGATAGGACTGCGTTCCCGTTTGGCACTGGACAGTACGTGCTTGCAAATGTGAAGGAAAAATTTAATCCATTGTATGAAACTGCAGTGAGCTGTTTGTCAAAGATGCTGGCAAACTCTGAGTAAACCTCTGGAAGCTTGTGAAAGAACTAATTTTTTTTCTTCCTGGCAGGATCTCCTTTGGCATCACAGGAATTAAATGACTGGTGATGAAGAATAATCCAGGGATGGGGGGGAACAAAAACTGAAAGAAGAAAAAAAAAACCTGAACCAACTAGCAGCACACTATAAGCAGTGATTCCAAAAGATTTTAATAAAGAAAAAAGTTCATTTTGGGTTGGGTTGTTTTGGTTTTGCAAACTACTGTACAGCTCTCTATATATGGTTCTCTTCAAAAAAGTTTCAAGAAGATACATTGATTGCTAGGAGCTGTTATACAGGGCTAGGGAGTGCCATTTAAAGTGGAGGATTCACTAACCCTCTGCTTCCATCCAGTATGGTCCCCAAGCTCTCCTCAGTCCCCTTGCTTTTGCTCTCCTAGGTCTGCAACACCCCCTCCCCCCCCCAAGCCCCAGTTGGCACCTCTCTTTCTGAGTTTAGGTGCAGCACTTCTGGGGAGTATCGAGGCAGCTGCAGGGAATGATGGCAGATTGTGATGGACATTGTAGGGTCCAGGGCAGACTAGAGATGGTGGTAAACTATCTAGACCAGTGGTTTTCAAACTATGGGGTCATTACCCAGTATTGAGTTGTGGAATGTCAGGCACTGGGTCTCGTTGCTACAGGGGGATCAGGTGACCAGTGGGGGTGCAAAGGCAGGCTACCTGCCTAACCTAGCACCACAGACTAAGTTGTGCCCTAGAAGTGGCCAGCAGCAGGCCCAGCTCCTAGGTGTGCTCCTAGGAGGGCACATAGGACTCCATGCATTGCCTCTGCCCCTAGCACTAGCTCCAGACTTCCATTGGTTGGGAACCTGCTGCTGGCTGCTTCTGCCTTAGCCCCGTCATTGCACCACTGATTGGAAGCCGCTCAAGGTAAGCCCCTCCTGCCCCAACCCTGATCCCACCCCTAAGCCGGAGCCCCCTCCTACACCTGCAAGCTGTCATCCTCAGCCCCTCCTCGAAGCCCATACTCTCTAGTCAAATTCTGTTGGGTCACAGGCATCAACAATTTTCTTCAACTGTGTCATGAGAAAAAAAAGTTTGAAAACCGCTGTTCTAGTCCCTGTTCACAACCCACTGGTGGGTCAGGACCCAGCATTAGGGAAACACACTGCGTGGAAAATTGAATCCCCTTGCCATCAGGAAATGCAAATACCTCTTTATGGAGGGGAGCAGCTGGAGCTTGCAGGTGTGTTCAGATTGCGGCCATTGACTATAGAATTAGGTGTGAACTCAGTGAGAAGAAGTTGTAGCTATGCTGGAGGGGAGCCCAGAATCCAAAGGGAGAATGAGACAGAGGAGGAGAGGTTTGTTGCGTACAAAGGAAATCACTGTGTAATGCTTTATTTTATTTGTCAGGACCCAAGATAAGGCTGGGGATAAGTACCTGACTGTGGCTGGAGGCCAGACACAGTGCTTTTAAATGCTTCCTTTTATTTCACAATGCCAGGAGACAGAGAAAGGAAGACAGGACCGTACGCCAGGAGTGTGTGTGCGTGTGTGAAGGGCACGAACCCTCCCCCCCCAAGGTTCCCCAGATAAGTGTGCTCCAGCTGGCCGGGGGAAGGCTGGGGCTGATTTCCTCCCCTCAGGAGTGAGGTCGAGGGCAGGGCTAGGCCTTGTTCCTGGAGAGGAGGAGAATCAGCCCCAACCTTCCCCCAGCCGGCAGCATGGGGGAGGGAGGCTCGTGCAATGTGCTGCTCCTGCCTTCCCCTGGCCAGCTGGAGCACGTTTACTTGGGGGACTATTGGGAGTGTGCATTCTCATCCTTATGGTCCACATTTACCCAAAAAACCCTACACACACACCAGAAATTTCTGCATACGGAGGCCTGGAAGAGCAGGGGATGGAGGAAAATGGACTGGAAGGGCGGATGGCCTAATAGCAAGGAGGTTGGCCTGGATCCTTGATACCAATTCCCTCCCCAGCACAGGCTTCTTGCGTGACCTTCAACACGGCATATAGTGTCTCTGCCTTACTCCCCATACATACAACGGGACAATAGTACTTCTCAACCTCCTGACTGATACGAGTGATTGTGAACCTGCAGCGATGTAATGCTAATGGGGCCATATCAGCACTAGTGAGTGAGTACATAAATAGGCCCCAGCACTGCCGTGGCTCACACACATGCTTCACTTTTGTGCACTGAGGGAGGAATCCTTGCCTCCGGAAAGTCAGTGGGATTGATTTCTGAGAGGCCATGCACAGAAGTTATTCAGTGAGTGAAAAGAAGCATTTTGCAGGATCGGGGCCATATGGGGTATGTATGTATTTATTAGTGAAATAATCCAGCGAGCAGCCTGTGTGCTTCTTTCCTGCTCCTCAAGTCCGAAGCACATGCATGGTCTGCAATAGGGCATTGATGATAAGGAGAACAACAAGGAGCTAACGGCCCAGTGCGTAGAAGTTCCACACTTACTTTCTATGGGCTAGATTCTCACATCCTTACACATGGGGAGTACCACCTCACTCTATGAGCAGTCGCACTGAAGGCAATGGATATAATTAGGTCACCTCTGATTTCAGCAAGGCAAGAATTCTGCCCAATGGTTTTGCTACACCACATGAGCGAAGGGGTCAGGATCTGGCCCTATATGACAACTCATAAGAACAAAAGAACATAAGAATGGCCATACTGGGTCAGACCAAAGGTCCATCTAGCCCAGTAGCCTGTCTGCTGACAGTGGCCAGCACCAAGTGCCCCAGAGGGGGTAGACCGAAGACAATGATCAAGTGATTTCTCTCCTGCCATCCTTCTCCAGCCTCTGACAAACAGAGGCCAGGGACACCATTCCTACCCCCTGGCTAATTGCCTTTTATGGGCCTAACCTCTGTGAAATTATCTAGCTTCACTTTAAACTCTGTTATAGTTCTAGCCTTCACAGCCTCCTCAGGTTGACTATGCGCTGTGTGTAGAACTTTCTTTTATTAGTTTTAAACCTGCTACCCATTTACTTCATTTGGTGTCCTCTAGTTCTTCTATTATGGGAACTAATAAATAACTTTTCTTTATTCACCCTCTCCACACCACTCATGATTTTATATACATCTATCATATGCCCCCTAAGTCTCCTGTTTTCTAAACTGAAAAGCCGCAGTCGCTTTAACCTCTCTTCATATGGGACCCATTCCAAACCCCTAATCATTTTAGTTGCCCTTTTCTGAACCTTTTCTAAGGCCAAAATATCTTTTTTGAGGTGAGGAGACCACATCTGTACACAGTATTCAAGATGTGGGCGTACCATAGTTTTATACAGGGGCAGTAAGTAAGTAAACAAACTCCTTTCCATTGTGTTGGAGTTGATTGACATTAGGCTTCTTGTCGCCTCTAAAAGAAGCATGCTATTTGTATTAATCATGTGGTAATTTATTAATAGTATTAACAATATCTTTAAATAGCAGAGTTTTATCCCACCAAATTCTCTGTTGGTAATGAGAGTGAGTTGGGAAGAGTTAGATGGCTTTGTAGAAAATAAGTGAACTCTTTATCCAGGGTTTTCCAGGTGAGTTCCACTCTTCTCTAAGGGTACGTCTAGATTACAGATACTGTCGACAAAACGTCTGTCGACAAAGAGCGTCTAGACTACATCCAGTTCTGTTGACAAAGCAAGCCACTTTGTCGACATGCGAGTGTAGACTCAAAGGACAGTGTAGATGCAATAACGCCTTCTGTCGACAGAACTCTGTCAACAAAAGGCGTTATTCCTCATAGAATGAGGTTTACATCCGTCGACAAAACTGTTGAGTTCTGTCAATGTTATGTCGACCGAACTCAGCAGCAGTGTAGATACAGGTATAGTAATCTAGACACACCCTAATAGTGGGAAAAATTAAAGATAGCAGAAACAGGGATTGTATAAAATCCCCTAAACTAACAACTAAAATTCCCTTAAACTAACCAACAAGTGGGAAAGTCAAAATTGATTAAGGACATGAATCTAATCCAATATGTTTCTGGAAGACCCACAACTTATTTTAATACTCTACATTTAGTCACACTTTAAGCTGTCTTATTCCAAAATGTTTTCTGTTTTAGTGGGGAAAGATAGAAACCAATTAGTAGTCTGAAATATACAGACAATTGCAGGGGAGAGAGAAAGATTCTATACCAAATACTGATCCCAGTGGAGTCAACTGAGAAAATCCTTTGAACTTCAGTTGGTGCAGGATTATGCCCTCTATTTGGAAATATTAAGAGAACGGGATCCTTTAAGGAGAGTTTTCTAAAATTTGCTTCGTTGTTCTCTTTGGAAAGATACCTTAAAGCCACTTTTAGCAAATCAAAAGGTTCACTGAAAAGACAGAAATTAAGAGAAGTCCTTCATGGAGATTGGCAAAACATGAAGTTTGTAATATCTTTCCAATCCAATTATAGCATTCAAATCAAGGAGGAAAAAAGTTATCAAATATAATGAAATCTTTCTTTTCCACTTACTTAAAAATACACTTCTGGGTGTCCAGACCTGAAGGGAATTTCAAAGTCAGCATTATGGTGGGGAAAAAAATGTTATGCAAATGAGTGTGAAATAATCAAATTTTTCTGGTGGAAATAAGTGCAGTTGTTTGATGTAATTTTGTCATACAGCATAATTTCAGCATCAGTGCTGAAGTTTAGAGGATCAGTATGTCTTCAGAAAAGCCATTTAACAGGGAATTCCAAATCAGACTTTGAGACTTTCTAAGAGAGGAACCCTTTTATTACATTAGCTGCAGATAGAAAGATAAAAATGACTTTCAGTAATTTCTCGATATTTTTCCACTTGAAAACTCAGCATGATTATGGTGTACAAACTCACAAAATCAAATATATACTGTGTTTCTGTAATTCCAGCTAAGCCATTTCATTGATGCAAAGAACTTCAGATAGGGATGTCTCGGTTTATTGCAATCTTTTTTCGTATGTGGAAACATTCCTCAAAATTAAAATGGTCAGACAAAGAAGGGGAACACATACTGACACTGTTATCAGTCTGGTGACCTGTGTTGAAAACTATTAGTGTTCTCAGTCCATTTATCAAAAAAGACATTCTCACCTTCTCATAGAAATCTCCATCCCTATTGGCACTTGTGCTTTGTCCTTGTGTTGATGTCAGAATTAAATATGGACTCAATCTAAAATGGGCTATTAGCCAATTAAATTCAAAATAATTTAGTTAAAATGGAGAAGGCAGT